TTGTCAAATTCTCAATTGCAAATGTCAAAATGACATGACATGACAAAACTTGGCAATCTTGCTTCCTTGATGTTGGCAGCAACTTATGGTCTCTTTCCCACATTAGGGTTTTTATCCAAAATATTTACCACCTAAGTTTAATGGCGTGAAAATATTAGCCTAAAGCGTGACGTAAGTGTAGGGCTTTTTATTAAAAACAGAATTATTAGAAATTGCTTTAATTGCTGACATCTTAGGCAACCAAGAAGTGTGTGTTTACGCTTTATTATAATAGTATAGATTAAATGTTTAAGGATAGTAAAGTAGATGTATGGATTAATTTTATTATGCTTACTAATGAAATCTACGTATTTTATGATGTAATGGGTACGCTTCTGTTAAAACCCTATCCGTTTTCGCACCTTCCGCGCATCTTTCATAATTTTATTACGTTGGCAACTTACATTGTACCAACTTAACATCTCGAATACCTTCATGGTACTGTATTTAGGAACAGTAAATCTGCATTTTACGGCACTAAAATATAGTCTCGAATTCAAGTTAATAACGACCTTAATACTTTGTGAATAATGCTAAAATCGCTTAATGTAACCTTTAACATATCATTTGGATATTACTGTGAGGTTTCTTTGTTCAAATATTGCATTTAAAATGTAGTTAAATTTGTAATTTACGAGTTGTTCGTTCGCACATGAGACGCTAATGATTGGTTGCTTGCGTGTTAGGTTGGTGACACATTGGACACTAATAATGTGGTATAGATAAAAAAATGTATAAATTGTCTTTGTAAGTTTATGCACGTATGTTATCTATTTAATTACAGGAGCAATATCTATCCTACTAATATTATAAATGCGAATGTTTAGATTAATGGATGTTTGCTTGAGTTTGTAGCTTAAACGGTTAGACGAATTTCGATGAAATTTGGCAGAGATGTAGAGCATAGTCTGGAAAACATATACTATTTACTTTTTTTAATCCACGTGGATCTCTTTCGCACTTATAATATTAGTAAAATTGGAATAGTGAAGTTAACTTTGGAATAATATTGTATCAAGTGTATCACAACCTTTATAACCGTAAACGTAAACTTGCAGGTGCAAAGACAGATGCTCTATTGTTCATAGAAAATAGTACTTTATAATAATATGCGTAAAGTGTAATTTACATAAACATTATTAATATTAACAATAAATATAAATAAACGTTGAAACAGACAGAAAGACGGATAAATCATTGCAATGTGTTAAACATCGTATTACATTAACAATTATTAATGAGAATTATTTAAATATGGTAATAAAGTTAGTTACATGGAACGGTGAATGTAATTTATAAGAATACTAGCTGTTCCCATGCGGCTTCATCCGCATGAAATTGTAATCGTCAAATGTGAAAATTCAGATGCATAAATGACAACCTTGCTTTCTTCATGTTGGCAGCAACTTATGGTCTCTTTCCCACATTAGGGTTTTTATCCAAAATATTTCCCTAAGTTTAATGGTGTGAAAACATATAGTCTAAAGCGTGACGTAAGTGTAGGGCTTTTTATTAAAATAAGAATTATTCAAAAATATGCTGTAATTGCTGACATCTTAGGCAACTAAGAAATGTGTGTTTACGCTTTATTATAATAGTATAGATAGATATATCGTGGAAAATATATTTTAAAGTTAACACTAGACTGTCTTTTTAGTGTCTAAAAACATATATGTTTTGAAATGGTGTATTTCAAAATGTTTACGCCAAAACAGTTGTATCTTGGTATTTTTGTATGCAAAGAAATAATTCCAAAACGAATCTTCCAATTTCAAAAATTCTTACATCGATAAAAAGCTATATTATAACTTAACATAAGCTATATTTATTACTATCTGAAATGTTTCAATAAATATAAATTCTCTAAAATCATCTTTATTACGATGAAGGAAAATATCTTGATGGACATATCGGCGAAGAAATTCAAAGATATGTGTGAAGTCAACCCGCAGTGCAGCGTAGTTTACTATGGCCTAGTTACCTCTTAACTTAGGGCAGGCTTCCCCTCAGTGGGGACGTACAGTGAGCTGGTAATGATGATCAAATACAGTCATCCACTTGCCCTTATCCCTTATGGAGGGTCGGCACAGTATGTGCTGCTCTTCCATACATCTCTATCAGCCGTCATATCTGAATCCACCTCTTTCTTAAGCATATCCTCTTTCACACAATCCATCCACACTTTCTTCGGTCTTCCTCTTCCTTTGTAGCCATCCACATTCAATCTTAACACTTTCTGGTTTATGTCCCCATCATTTCGTCGCATAACATGTCCATACCACGCTAACCTTTTGCTTCTCAATTTCTCCACCACTGGCGCTACTTTCAAACTTCCTCTAATGTACACATTCTTAACTTTATCCATTCTTGTCACACCACACATCCATCTTAACATACGCATCTCAGCCACAGATTTGATGATGATCATGATCAAATACAGTAATGGTATAAAAGGTAGAACGTTTTAACTTCTTATTTAAAATAATGTCATAAGTTTTTATGATATAGTACTTTTACGGAAACAAAATCGCAGGCAAACATCTAATCTTACTATTGTTATAAACTAGCATTCGCTTGCGACTCCGTCCGCATGGAATTAAAAAACAACAAAAGTAAGTAGCCTTTGTCTTCTTCCAGACTATCCTCTACATCCATACCAAGTTTCATCGAAATCCGTTCAGCCGTTTAGGCTACAAACTCTAACAAACATCCATCCATCTAAACTTTCGCATTTATAATATTATTAAGTATGATGCGAATGTTTAGATGGATGTTTGTTAGAGTTTGTAGCCTAAACTGCTGAACGGATCTTGATGAAATTTCGCACAGATGTAAAGGATAGTCTGGAAGAACACATAGGCTACTCACTTTTGTTTTTTTTTTTAATTCCACGAGTACAGACTCGCGGGCGAAAGCTAGTTTTTCTATAAGTTCATGGTTCGAAGATCGGCTATTTCCGTACACGCACGATTAACCATAACATAAAGGGTGACATAGGATGTTACTAAATTGATATTTGATGTCTATATGTCGCTAATGTACCGTGAATACTAATCTAATTTTGAATAGGGAATCCCCTTTGTAACGCCACTTTGTTCACATTTTTATACCATCTTTTGTCTCTTTCTGCATTTGTCCTTGTCTTTATAAAATTCTCATGTATATTTTATCTATTTGTGAAAATATTGCAGTTTTCTTGCTTTCTTCTGATAACATTCGTAAATTATATTACACAAGCTTAAAAAAGTAAATAGGTAGTCTGTGTTCTTCCAAATTATCTTTTATGTCTATGCCCGTTCAGCAGTTCAGGCTACAGACCAACAAACATCCATCTAAACTTACGCATTTATAACAGACTAGTTGCTCGCGACTTCGTCTGCGTGAAATTAAAAAATAGTGAATATAGCCTATGTTACTCACAGATAAATTACCTTTCTAACGGTAAAAGAATTTTTGAAATCTGCACATTAGTTTTTGAGTTATTTCAATACATACAAAAATACAAATCTTTCGTTTTAACTTTAGTAAAAACTAGCTGTTGCTCGCGACTCCGTCCGCGTGAAATTAAAAAAAATAGTAGAAATATAGGCTGTTAAACATTGACACCATAGGTTTTTAACGGTGGAAAAAATGTTGAAATCGGCCTAGTAGTTTTTGAGTTATTTCAATACATACAAAAATACAAATCTTTCCTCTTTATAGTTTTAGTATAGATTACCATTTTTATTAAATCCTATCAACACAATAATGCAATTTGCTCGCTTTACGAATGTTCCGATTGCAAGAAATTGCTTGATATCAAATCGATTTACTTTATTTTCACGTATAACCATGTTATAAATTATTTTTCTCATATTTTCCGTTATCGGCGAAATGAAACTTAGATTATTTTCAAAATTACATGTGTAATAATCTATACATATAATAAAATTGGACCGTCTGTTTGTAATATCAATCCAGATCCAGATTTCGGAAAGATGATGTATTTGTCGTTGCTGATAACGAAAATCGCAACTAAACTTTAGTCTGTCTATCTGTCTGTCCGCAAGCCGCGGTTATTCCGGGTAATCTCCGAAACGGCTGATTTTGACCGAACTTTCACTGAAGGGTAGCTGACATAGACGGGCATATTATATCTTAATATTGCGTGGACGAAGTCGCGGGCATTAACTGGTATTTTTAAAAAGCACAAATATACTTTCATAGTACTGTTAAAATGCTAAAGTTTGTATGGATGATTGTATATCTCCAAAACATCTTAATAGATCTCGATGAAAGGCATAGATGTAGAACATAGTCTAGACCACGTAGGCTACGACTTTTTTTAATTTTGCACAGATGAACAAAAAAATCTTTCTTACAATTTAAAACACACCATAATATGATAGCAATAAAGCAAAAATAACGTTAAGTAAAAGCTAACTGCAATTCCCTTTGCCAGAATTTCGTATTGCATTTATAATTTTTCAAAAGCACTGCCGACGGCGTCTTGAATACATTTCACGAGCCATTACGTTCGTGACAAATAGCGTCACAAGATGGCGGATGTTTTTTTGAGCGGGAAAAGCTTTTGTGAGCGTTTGGAAAATTATCTATGGTTTTCGTTCAATGTTATCGAGGGGGTGTTTCGCAAAGGGTGACTTTTGTTATTCTTTTTGATGACTTCATATATATAAAATGTTATGTGAAACGTGTGTATAATCTATGTCAGATTTTTTATGTATAGTATTTTTAATGTACAGTCAGCTGCTTAAATACTCATATGTATACGTTTCCAAAAATTCAAGAACTCGAATATGCTATCGGTTTCAAAAATTTTAATCTACGAATTCTTTGTTTATTTTGTTGACTGTACGTTACATTTGGCATCTCTAACTTAACCTAAAAATCTATTCCGAATATGTATTCAATAAAACCTTCTAGATTGTACTCGATTTTAAATATATATTCCTTGTCTCCAGGTGAAAGTTTGGTTCCAAAACAGAAGAACGAAACATAAAAGAATGCAGCAAGAAGAAGAAGCAAAAACTGGCACCAAATCTGGTTCCTCTGGTAGCAAACCTGATGATGGGAGCCAGTTCAACAACTCTTATGACGAAGATGAAGAATTAATCGACATGGATATGGATGACCTAAGTGAGAGTGAAAATGAGACGTAGAATAGTGATAGACAGGACTATGTAAATATTATTTATAAGCAAATTATTCTTATTTATTTCAATACTAATCTATTAAGGCGTCTCGTAATTAAATCATTCCTTATTTATGTTGGACAGATTCAAATTAGACAACGACTCCGATAAAAAAAAAATAACGAATTCAAACATCAATTTGTTTCAATTCATTGCGCGATCATTTATTTAATTCTAAACAAGTAACCGTGTCATTAAATTAACGGGATTCAAAATGGCGTCAGAACGATTCTTGTTAGCGCGTCACGAATTATTAGATAACAAAATTGGGGTCCATTATAATAGTTTGGGGGTATTAAATTAATTAAAAACTCCTTTGATGCGTTCTTCTAGTGATGTGGGTATAATTAGATGGTTTGATTTTAAATGCTGATTATGGTTTGGAGCTGTCAACGTTAGAGTGGGACGGGTATAGGGTAACAATAAGAGTGAGTGAGAGAGTTGATAGTCTATGGTTAGCATCGTTTGTGGGCTGTTATTAAGAGATGTGTATAGGTCGGTATCAGGCGCTAGCATCGCGTCCAGTAATTGCTCGCGACGAAATCAAATTGTTTTTAAACTGTTGACGATTGTTCCGGACGGCTATTTGTCTATGGCCAGTATTAGCGATTATGATCTCACGTTCTCGTTTGTTTTTGACATGTATTGTGAGATTGTTTCACGAAGTCATTTAACAATGTCAAAATATAGGAACGCACGGATAATTTAATGTACAATATCGGTTTTCGTTAAGATGGTTAACCTTCTATTATGTGGTTACGTAGATGATTTGATTACATTTGTAAAATAAAAGAAAATATCTCGAATTTCTTTAGTAAACATTTTTACACAATCAAGTACTTAATATTTTATTTAAAATATTACAATAATTATTATCAGTGCATCGTCAACCTTATTACTAAATGAAATTCAATAAAAGGGTAACACTAAACCTCAATTACTATACTGGCAACACCGCCACCCACGTGTCAACGCGGAAACGTCAAGCGACGCCATTAAAGTTGCATTTTTAATTAGTGGCAGGTATTAAGCGACCATTGTTAAATTAATCGTTTAATTTGAGGTCGCGGGAGCGTGGCGGTCGGCCGTGTAAACGCAATAACTTGCCCAGCTAAGGCATTGTTTGGAATTCTTAAAGTCGACTAATTGGCGAATTTCTTGTTTAGTATCGATTTTATTGATATAAGTATACGTTGGGTATAAAATTACAGAGAGAATTGCAATGATTGAAATTGTTTGCTTATGAGAATGTTTAAAATTGAAGACATCTTAATGACGTCATTGTATTTGATCTCTTGTTATTGGAGTGTATTTGTATAAATAAATCAAAACAAATGAATCCCAAGTTGCTTTTTTTCTTTTGTTTTTAATAAGTCATAATATTAGGGAGGCGCGGCACTGCCCTGTCAGGCCAGAAATTAATATCTTTAAAAAAATATTAAAATAAAGCTATACTAGCTTTTGCTCGCAACTTCGTTCTGAATAAAAAACTTAATTATTAATATAGCTTATGTCATTCAGAGATTATGTAGCTTTTTAATGGTAGAAGAATTTTTTTAATCGGTTCAGTAGTTTTTGAGTTTTTCCGTTACAAAATACAAATCTTTATAGTTCTGTTATTTGGCTCTTTTACAGTCGCGCACAAAAGTGTTTTGTGACGTTACCTATTCGCTAATGAAACCTAGATTCCATTTTCAGCTCAATTAACTTTGAATCGATAGATTTACTTCATTAACTGTTTCCGATTAGCAGCCATGTCGCGTTTTACGATCTATTCTTTGAATATAGACTTTTTAATTACTTACATCTTGCTATTAACTCGCTGATTATGATTTACTAGCTTTAGACTGCGACTACGCATGGAAAAAACAAAAAGTGGCTTATGTTCTTTCAGACTTTCCTCTACATTTATGCCTTTCATCGAGATCCGTTCAGTAATTTAGGCGTCTTTAACATCTTTTAATATTAAGTATAAATGCGAATGTTTAGATGGATGGATGTTGGTTAGAGTTTGCAGCCTATACTGCTGAGCGGATCTTTATGAAATTTGGCATAGATGTAAAGCATATTATGGAAGCGTATAGGCTACTTATTTATTTAATTCCACGCGGACGATGACACCGGTGACAGCTAGTTTATAATATTAGTAAGATTATTTTTTTATCGGAGTCCTTGTTTTTCGTAATTTACGGTTACCTGATAAGGTTTATTTCATCAGCCTTTGTCACTGGATATAGGCCTTTTAAACTATTTGCCAAAATTGGCCCTTCACAGTCAGAAAAGGCCAATTATGGCAAAAGTTTTTTTTTGAATTCTTAAACTATTAATATATAGTTTTTTTGTCTTTGTATGTACCTTTATAATATACATATTAATAAATGTAGAAATTTTTATCAAATCCGACTTTCGATGAGCGTTGTTTGTATCTAGTAATATTTAAAAAACTAAATCGCTCAAATGTAGTTTAAATAAGTCAGTTCCTTTAGTATAAAGAAGCGAGATATCTTGTATTGCTTTAATATTATTAAAAAACTAATTAAAAAGTCAACTCATGTTTCTAATTACCGACTTCTTACGGATTTGTTGGGTGTCCTTTATAAGGGGAGTTTCTATTTTGCACTCTCCGTTTGTCATTAGAGATGGGCCTCCCGAAACTAGTACTTACCGGATCATAAGTAACTTAAGCCGTTCCTATAGTTATTGATGTCTCAAAAAAGCTTAGGGCCTGTCCCACCACTGACTGAGGCTCAGATAGCTTAAAGATGACGTCACAGTCTTATAAATACGATATCTCTTACGCATATTTTACACGTTGGTTTGTTAATTTACAAGAATTTGGTGGGACTGACTCTAACACAATTAAATTATAATAATAAATATTCAGTTGTAAACGTGAATAAAAATGTTAAGACGAAGTGCGTTGTATCGTTGATTTTTATACTTAACTAGAACCAACGTAAACTGATCCTACCCGGTGATCATAGAACGATGTCTTTGTTATATCAAAAAGTTGTCAAAACCCTCATATTGCTGTAGTTTACGCCATTTTTATATATGTAGGCTTTTTTTGATGTAATTAACAGACTCATTGTTTTATCGGGAAAGACAAGCTTGTTTTATTTAATACAGTATTTGACATAATTAAGGCCGAATATTGAAACTACATTTAAATATGTATAAATGATAAGGCCTAAGAGCCTGTGCAGAACTTTGACTAAACTATCGCACTGTTGACGATTGTTGCAGCCAATTTAATCGCACAACTAAATCGAGTAGTGTACTTCATATAAGTTTATAGGAATCAACGCGTGACTAAACAGTTATGCGATAGTTTAGTCAAATGTGCTCTTAAATCAATTCTATTAAAATTCTGTCGTCTGTCAGATTGTAAGCGGCGATTAGAGAGTGTTTTAATTAGTTTTAATATTCGACCTTTAGTGTCAAGATACTCTAACAGTGTGTTTCCAATGAATTTCGCAACTATATTGTAAATATTCATACAGTTCCGTGTAAACCTACTAGATATAAGAATAAAAACATTTGCATTGCTAGTACAATTAATATAAAATCTTTTACATATGTAAAGAATGAATTATTATTTATTAAAATTTGGCTAATCAAGCATTTTAGTTGAATAAATGAAATGTAAAAACCAATTTCAATGATTTTGTAAACAACAAAATAAACGTTTTATTTTGATTTTTAAGAGCACACCTTTGAAAAAACTATCGCACTGTTACGCGTATACCGATTGTCGATTGTTTCGCAGCAAATTCAATTGTTTTGCACAACTAAAAATCGAGTAGTGTACCTCCATATAAGGTCATAAGAATCAAAGCGAGACTAAACAGTTGTGCGATGCTTTAATCCAAGGTGTGCGTGCGCTTTTAATACTATACATACTTAAATTGTCCGAAACGTGTGTTTAAAACATATTTTTTAAATGTTCTTCTGATTACTAAATATGTAAAATTACGCCAAATTGTAATTTTTTTTATTCTATAAATTCTTTTATAAGATACTCAGATATTGTGCTAAAATACAATAAAAATAGTGTAAAAATAAGCAAAACCTTAAAGTTGTCTCAAACGTTACGCTGTGTAATGTAACGTTTAAAGCATGCTAGATCGACGACGTTACACTGTGTAATGTAACGTTTAAAGCATGCTAGATCGACGACGTTACACTGTGTAATGTAACTTTTAAAAGCATGCCGCTAGATCGACGACGTGACACTGTGTAATGTAACGTTTAAAGCATGCTAGATCGACGACGTTACACTGTGTAATGTAACGTTTAAAGCATGCCGCTAGATCGACGACGTTACACTGTGTAATGTAACGTTTCAAGCATGCCGCTAGATCGACGACGTTACACTGTGTAATGTAACGTTTAAAGCATGCTAGATCGACGACGTTACACTGTGTAATGTAACGTTTAAAACCATGCCACTAGATCGATGACGTTACACTGTAAAATCATGCTTTCAACTTCATTGGAATTACGTATTTAAAAACATTAAATTATTTAAAGAAACTAATTAATTCATGTATGCCATAGATAAAAAATCGAATTGTAAATATTAATATAGATTATAAATAAAAATTGTTATAAATGTTAGTTTATAGTGTACATTTTGATTTATTTAAACTAGTTGTGTGTACATATTTGTGTTAGTGATTTAATTATTTAAGTGTATGTGTGTATATTCAGCTATCTCTGTGACTGTACCCAGTACCCAGTAACTTTCAGTTCCCTGCGAGTTGTAGTTATTTAACGACGAGTGATATGAAATATATGTTTTTACTCATTTATCTCGTGTTGGTTTTATTCGAATGTCCATAATAATCTATACTATTATAATAAAGCGTAAACACACATTTTTTTGTTGCCTAAGATGTCAGCAATTACAGTTTATTTTTAAATTATTCTTTGTTTAATTAAAAGCCCTACACTTACGTCACGCTTTAGGCTATATATTTTCATGCCATTAACTTAGGTGGTAAATATTTTGGTTAAAAACTCTAATGTGGGAAAGAGACCATAAGTGCTGCCAACATCAAGGAAGCAAGGTTGCCATGGTTTGTTATAATGTCATGTCATTTTGACATGTGCAATTGATAATTTGACGAATGTTTACAATAAAATAAAGTTTTTATAACTTCATACGGGTGAAGTCGCACGCAAACAGCTAGTATATGAATGAAGCCATAATCTCTCAAAATATGTTTGTGCTACTGTCCCACCAAATTGTAAATTGTTTGATACTGGGACAGGCCCTAAAACTTCTCTAATAAAAATCTTACTGATATAAATGCGAAAGTTTAGATGGATGTTTGTTTGTAGCCTAAGCTGAACGGATCTCGATGATTTTCATACATGTAGAGGATAGTTTGGAATAAAATAATTTTGTTTTATAATATAAGGTGGCAAACGAGCAAGCAACCACCTGAATAGACATCCACAATTGCAGATGCGTTGCCTATCCTTAATCCACGGAGGAGGAGACGCACATAAAAAGGATAGCACCCTACCTATGCGTCTCCTCGGCCGTCAAATCCACTTTCCCTTTCAATCCTTTCTCATAAGAAAAAGGGAAGGAAAAGGGACCAAAATTGGGACTCGGGCACCACACTCATTAGACAAAACGCGGAATTTCTTCCACTTCACGCCTGTCTTCTGTGTGGTCGTGGTATTACACCGGGCTAGCCGGTCCATTAGTGAGAAGATGTTAAAGCGGGCTCTACCACTGTACACTCTGCACGAATGGAGTCACGTGCGAAATTATAACTAATCAATACAATGTGAACAGTGATTACTCTGAGAATCTATACTTGCAAAAGTATATGGTATTTAATCGGAAAGTGGGACCACACATATTCCGTGACGTCATCCAATGCAAGACAACGGCTTACCGGCTGCATACAAACCGCTGTTTATATGCGCATTGAATGACAAGTGGTTCATCGATTTGGCATTATTCCTGTTGGTTTATTGACAATTTTCTGACTTATCTGTCCTTGCTTGTTGCCGACAAATATCTTGTGCGAAAGAATTAAGTAGATATCGTTTAGTTAAACACATGTTTAACTAAACACCGCCTATTGTTTTTATGATCAAAGTGGTTATGCCTAACTATAAATATGTTAACCACATTGCTTTTGGTATAAAACTTACTTCTTACTATCTTACTTAATATTATAAATGCGAAAGTTTAGATGAATTGATGGTTGTTTGTTAGAATTTGTAGCCTAAACTGCTAAACGGATCTGGATAAAATTTGGCACAGATGTAGAGCATAGTCTGGAAGAACACATGGGGTACTCACTTTTGTTTTTTTAATCCTCCGCGGACGGAGTCGCGGGCTAAAGCTAGTAGTATTGTAAATGCGAAAGTTTAGATGGATGTGATGACTCTTAGAGAATAATATGGAAAAACACATAGGCTACTTTTGCTTTTTTAATTCCGCGTAAATAAAGCTTTATGGT